TAAAGTTTTTCGTTACGTGCGCGCGAACTTGATGTATAATTTGCAAAATTTTGTGTTACTCACTCATTTATTGGAGGGCACTGTACAATCTAAACTATGATGCGATCATCTGATAATTGAGCTTTGTGTTAGGATCCTGTATCAAGGGACCAACCGCCTCATTTACGGTACATGATATATCAACAACCTTTCGAACGAGGTGCTTTATTAAGTATGCTGAGATTAAATATAGGACTGACAATGTATATTATTAGATTGTATCATATTAATATCGGTTTTATTTGTAGTCCTATAGGATGAGCTCATACGACACTTTGAAGAAGTTATCGACCAAATAATAACAATGTCAAATTGGCTCTTGGAAGGCTGTAATTCCTTAACTTTTTGGGGAAATTTTACAACTATGGTATATGCAAATCTAACAAATTTGGGCGTCAAGCTCGGAAAACCGATATTTCATAAAAAATCGCGCAATTCCGATAACCGATATTATTTTGTCACATTCATATAAGAATTTAATCTCGATATACCGATATAATAATACAATAGTATGTTAGTATTATTTTGAAGATTCACAAATGAGGCAACTCCTTCACAATAGAGAAGGAAATCACTGCAGATACTTCAACAGAATTATACCCATTATCATGAAACTGGAACAATTACGCTGAGCGAAGATCCGGTATGTTGCCTAGCAATCGGTTCCAAGTCAGTTATAATAGAAGTGCGATATACAGTTCTGCCTCAGTTATATCTTATCTCCCACTTGTATCCCAACCTACTTAAATAATTCTGGTCGGATTCCCTTATTCAGTTCCATATACAGCTATATCCCCATTCCCTATCGCCAATTTTCCACAACCCCAATTTCTCAATCGTACAGTAATCCTATATTAAGCAAATTTATTAACTACATTTCTATACGTTAACATGAATACTTTTCTGAATTGCAAGAAAAAATAAACAAAGAAGTAAAAGGGCTATTCTTAATTCCTTTGTAATCAGATTCGGCAACTCAACTGAAGTATAAAAGCATCAGTGCGTCCATCTGACACTTCACCACTGACTCTTTGCATGAAGTGCCCCGTTAGGCATATGATATCCGTGTTGATTTGTGTCGCCAATATTTTCGCTGGGGATGTCTAATTCTTACGGCATTAAATACGTAATTGCGAGAATTTGAGCAAATCTCGTTACTTTACAACGCAATTTTCAGCTGCTGTTCTGTCATTTGAGAGTACTATAGGGAATACATAGCCCTTAAAAAAAACAACAGAACATTGCACGTAATCGTATTTTATAGAAATAATAAGGCCTTAGCATATCAACGACAATGAATATGAATAAGTGAGAACCCAGATCGAGAATGAGACATACCGGCCCACCAATCTACTCACCATCGCCTAACTTAATCTTCTTATCCAATTGAATATACTTCCTACAGTTTGCGCGTAACAACGAAGCACTGGTTTTATAGCTACAAGCGGGAGTCTTGCTGCTAAACAAATTTTCCAATGGGATGTTCTTACAAACTGGAGTAGTCATTTGAGAACTCCAACGTTTAGTGGACTTGCGTGATCGGTGCCCGAGTAGTATCTTCATTATATAATGTAGTGCTGTTCATATGCGTTTCAGTTTTGTATCTCTCGTCAATCTGAGTGATGTGACCAATTTGCAGTTTACTGATAACAGTTCAACCGACCAGTACAATACTACATTCCAACCTCGCTGCGGATAAGTTGTCCCGAGAATTCTAAATTTGATCGAGGCAAAATACGAATCACATTAACCGTGCTGCTTGTCCAATCCTTCTTTTATATAATAGTGCTCCATTATTCAAGAACCAGCCACAATCGTCATAGGCGTTCCCTGGCATTATTCTGTCTTATAAACCCAAAGACGCGAGATATATGATGCTTCATAAATGGAAGGGGAGGTGATGGCAATGTTCTGATCTGTCATTCTCGGTGAAAGATTGCTATCATGTAGTTCAATTCGAAAATACATACCTTCCGTCACTTTTGATATGTCGCTTCCAGTTCTTCCTCACTCAGTCATAACAAGCACGTCTCTAACGTCTTGGCATTCTCAGGCCGAATATTTTGTTGTTAATGTGCAATACAGACTTTCAAAATCATAGGTTCGGATAAAATTTCCCCTACAACGAGTTTTTCACTTGTTTGGTTAGAATGCACTGTCAGACTCTATCGGCACATCCAACACATCGATTAAGTACTAACAATCGAAAAGAGTTGATAACAAACTTACTACTTTGGATCCAATGTCCCAACAATCAGACGCATAATGAGCCACTAGTTGACGGCAAGCCTTTAGGACTTAGTCCAAGCTTGGTAAGAAAAGGCTAGAAAATAAGCAAGCGTTTAATTGTCGAATAAAGGATGTATTCTACGGGTCGATAAAGTGTTTCAATCTTGGTCATGATAAATTCTCTAGCATTGTAATCGCACGGATTTCACCACGTCATGGGCAACACATTCAAAGGTGTTTGGACTACGTACCTGACACGAGTAATCCCGACCGTGAGCTTATTCATTTCGAAACGATCTCCGATGGACGCGGATGTACATGGCATTTTGCATCTTATCGTTATTGAATTCGACTTCGGAACGGATGTAACTACTAATTAAGTAAATAACGTATTGTCGGACAAATGTCAGTGACGGCTTTTACGAGTCCAATGCTTAATCTCAATCAGATTAAATTAAATAAGATCCGTAAAATTACCATTAGTCTCTGGATTCTTGATATGCTTATTCATCAAGCTTAATTCATGCTAAAGCCTTCAGTAAAGTCAATTTCCAACACGTGTCAAGGTGTAATTACCACATGTTAGTAGAAATTGAACGATTGTACTACGTTTGCTAGGCATAGTTGTGTCACTGATGTATCAGAAGACATTCCATTCGGAAATTTAATATCGTTTCAGGACTTTTTAGTAAGAGTCGCATTAGCTAGTATGCTGTGAAAAATTCACACAATGTCCAACCGCATGCATCGGTCGGTCTATATATTGCATTAAATTATACTGCTATCAGCAAGTGTGTGCAAGCTACAATAATGATGCACTTGAACGATCCATCTTTCGAAACACGAATGTTTGTTCGCAACGTTTGTCTGTCTTCGCGTTCACTATCGAAAACCTTGGCCTGAGCTTCATTTTACTTCCGATTAACGGCATATGAAGGGCGCGCAAAAATTATTTCGGGGCGAGGAAGGGATTCTTCTTAGGTATTTGAGCAAGATCGCGTGGTAGATACTGTCCCCGACACGGATAGATATTAATTGTTGTTTGTTCTTTCTCATTCGTGTAGTGAATATGGTGCTTACATATACTGGAGGAGCCGTTTCGTTACGCTCCTTACTGCGAGATTCGATCAATTTTATTTGTGCTTCGTATCGGGAATGACTGACCGACTCGTGTCAGACTAGGTATGAATTCTACTGAAAATCGGATTTGTATAAAAAATTTTTTTAATCATTTATATCAACTAAACAGCTTGGAACCTTTCGGAACAAAAGAAATACATTACGGAATTTATACCATAGTGCGCGAAACAACAGACACTAGTTTGATAACCATAAGCACTGGTTTTACTGCTCCGAAATCAACAAGATTCTCAACATTACTGATGACGCCCCCCAGGCCAGTTCTAAATGGGAAGTTTACGTGTCATTTCTCGACACGGATGCAAACGGGTGAACGGATCTTATTCTGAGTATGAAATTTCTATTCCGATTGATCAGCGCGTATATGTTATAATAAGGTTCGCAACAACACGGAATATTGGCACAAAACTGTCTTTTCGGAAACCTTATGCGCGTTCGTCGCCTGATATACCGAAATTGATGCCTGACAGTAAGTAATAATAACGGATAACTTATTTGTACTATCAATGACTGACTCGTATAATCTATCTCTAAATAACGGCTAGAATAATCCTACAATTCATCCGAAAACTGAGGAGACAACTCCGGTTGATAGGAAGAACTATCTATGACATTCCTGTCGTTAAATCTGTTGGCAAAATTCCTCTTGTCAACTTATTGATGGCGATGATATCCTAGAGAAAAGATATCTGGACATGAGAATACGTACATCTTAGTAACAAGAACACCATATTCATTAGTCAACAAACTCTATTCTAGAAAACTTTGTACAAATATTGGGACATCACAACGCGTCTTGAAAATCTGATCCTGATTCAGTCATATAACAGATGCAATCTCTAGAAAAATTGTATCTAATCAAGGACAACACCATATCGAATTCAATGAAGCAAATACTTTGATAATTTTTATTTGGCTTAGCGGTTATTATACAATCGTGAAGAAAAACGTTCCAATAAAAATGTCTATATAAAGTACATTATCGAAAATTGGTCACAAACTATGGCTTCATCGAACCGCAAATATCTAGCAATAATAATAACTGTAATTTAATAAAAGGTGGGAGCTAGTATGCATGTGACTGGCAACCAGTTCAGAGGCAATCTGGTCGACTGCCGTTCATGTACTGTGATAATTCGGGTAGTATGATCAATGTCCAATAATAGACACACGCACACGGCTGACGCTTGACAGAAAGGAAGTGTGTGTGATGCGTGCAGTAATCCACGCGGGTCCATCAACTTATTCATCTATTTAAGAACAGCTCCATATCCTTGGTAAGTACATGCCCTGGGCGGCGCCAAACGACGAGTAATGAGAATAGGCCATCGCCTTTCTCATTTCTTGCTTAGGAGGCGGTTCCATATACTTGGTAAGTACGTGGCGCCTCCATAATTTGGTTCTAAATTTTCTTGTTTTGTCATAAGACAACTTCGTCCATCTTCAAGTGCACACAGATTTTTATTTTCCTCCTTCTCGTTTCCAAATGCCGTCAGCCCCTTCTTCATTCTTGGATTTTGATGAAGGTACTTGCCGCCCATGCTAATTTAGCAAGTACTTTGAAACGCTGGCGAACGTGTGGTTCTTCATTTTCCCTTGGGATTTCATTGTGAAAAACTGCGTTCTGAAAAGTAGTTGTTTGATATGTTTGAGTCATATTGTAATTGGCCAACATAAGAGAAGTGTGTCATTCCGTTTTTTTGCGAAGACATTAATATTAATATTAAGACTGGCAGTCATGTGTCTGTTCTTGTGACACAACGATATTCTGACCAACAAAAAACTTTGCATATTTGGTTCACATGACAAATTTGCATTTCCCTACATGGGCAAAGTTTACAAACACAACTTTTGAATTAGGATCAATAGTATAAATATAATAGAAAATTGGAATTGTACTTGCCAGTTAGTAGTATCATTGGAATTACAAAAAATTTGTCATGATAGTAACAGTAATCGTTGTTAGCACGCATAAACAAAAAGATTTGATTAACGTTGGGTGGTTTTATTATACAAATAATTCGTTCCTGATCGGTCAACCCTTTATCGACACGAAAAAGACTTAAGTAAATAAATATTTGCATCCTTGTTTCTGGATGCAATAATTCTGACTGAGCATAGCATACGCTAACAAGATTCTAGCTGTCTGCTTCTTTATAAATTGGGATACTTGCGCTTATGGTATTTGGCGTGCAAATTCCGAAAGGACTCTAAAAAATCGTCTTGAAAAGGAAGTCTTTTGCTTTCTCGCAGACCTCCAACCCTACTCGGTGCGAGGACAACCTCCATTGAGGTTGTCCAAATTCCTCCCTGTCCTCTTACTTGAGCAGCATAGCGGGTAATCAAGTGCGTTGTTTGACACCGTTGGCGTTTTGTACCTTAGCGTTTTTTGTACAATTCGCGTTTTTTGCATGTTTTGCTCAGAGGTGAAAGGAAAACCTATTCATCAAAATTATGAATAGATATTGTGCTGTGAGGTGTAAACAAAGGTAGAAATATTCGGAAGACGACTGTATGTACAATCACGGAACTTACCTGTCCTTTAAAACTGATATTTTTCGCACTTGCTAGCAAAACTCGTCAGCATGGGAAGCTCCTGCTATCAAATGTTACCATTAACATCTAATGGTTTAATAACAACGTAAAAACTACTCTCTGTAATCACCAACTAACCTCTGTCGCGCCCATGAAGATTAACAACTGCTGTTATAATTTTCGTCTTTCATATGGCGCGCGGCAATTTATAAAATACTGTAGCTTCTAGATGGTTGTAAAACAGAGACATAGTTGGCGTCTGGCGTTGTTAGTGACAGACGAGTAGGAACTCTCGTACTTACCGAACTCTCGAGTGGGGCAGCTTAAACTGAGCATCTTGTTGTCGGAATGGTGATGGGCGCGTATTAAATAAAATTTTTTACAGAAGTTGAATTCTCATTGGGCAATTAAGACCACGTGAATTGAAAAAGGGGACAATATTTTTAACAATCGCTCGATTGTTTATCGAAATAATCAAGGTACCGATCATGCGCCTTATCGGGGTCGGGAGGCTTTCCTATAGTTATCTCTTGAGCATGTCAATTCTCTGCTTTTCAAAGTTTATGATAACGGACTCAATGTTGATACTACTTTCGTATCTGATTTGAGAGGATACGTTAAGTATTGTTCGTTCTATTAAAGATTTATATTAATATTGCAGACATGTTGCATTTAGAGGGAAATTACACTCATGGGGTTGCAATTATGGAGGTGTCACTGTACCTCCCTTGTTTAGGCTATCATTAGATTATTGTTTAACTTCAAATAATACGTCCATTTCTTCCGATGGGATTAATTTCGAAAGCCCATATTAATATGTTGGGAGCTATTCACTAAACGCGTTCGCGTTTACGCTTTTACGACGACAGAGGTAAATTTACCAGAAACAAATTTATATTTGAAGCAAAGATGCTCTTTGTAAGGATTCGATTTGGTGGGTCCTTTGTTGGTTACAACTGGCAGCTGTTTGTTTAATTGTAAAGGATTCGAATGATCTGCTTTATGCATTCTATCGTTTTCCTAAACTGACGAATTTTGCTAAACACGATCTGGCGTACAGGTAATTTTTATCAGTTGAACAGTCTGTCACGTTAACACTATGATGCAATACATAGGATGTGGAACTGAGTATGAGCTTACTACTTTTCACTGGCTTTGGACACAGCTGAGAAAAAGTCGCCAGGGACCGTCATAATATAATTTCTCCGGAGAAAGTTTGTCGTTGGTATCGATATACAGTGTGAGACAAAAATTTTTATGATACAAAGATCTTCAGAAATAGGCTGATACCTAGCGCCAACCCCCGTTCCCAAGCAGATTGAAAGTATAATATTTACTATCAAGCGATTAACGAGATCGAATGATTGGTCTTTCGATCATAGTTATGCATATATTTTTCTTTCAAGGCATGTTAAACCAAACAAACAAACCAACATTCTGTTTGTATTACGAATTGATAGAGTTTGTGAAATACCTGTTTGATGCTTAAGCATTAAAGTCTCCATGCAAACGAAACGCTAACGTTTTTCCCGATTTAGACGAAGCTATCGAACACAACAAAAAGTTAGTGCTTATCCGTTGATATAGAAAAGTGTAGAAAACGTAATACTAATCCTCGAACATGGGCTGACCATAATCAAAATACCTGATATCTAAGAATGAATTGTAAATACATTGTATATTATAATTATAAAATAAACAAAGTTTTTCGAGTAATCTTACAATCGAAAACAAAGAATTTAAGTTTCGTCCAATCAGAGTATAGCGATTCGATCTCGTTAATCGCTTGATAGTAAATATACTTTCAATCCGCTTGGGAATGGGGGTTGGCGCGCTCAAAATGCTAAGGTATCAAGCCTTTCGAGATAACTTATTATAATAATAATTTTTATTATTATTGGGAAATGTAAATGCAGCTCAGTTCTGATGACTGGCTGAAGACGTCGTACATACGGTCACGTTACGGTAACCAGTTTTGATAACAAAAACACGTCTACCCAATTTAGATCGGATTCGTGACGCGTAAAATGCGACTCAATTTTGGTACTTTGTATTTATTATTTCTTTGAGAGCAACGTTCACGTCTAAGCAAGAACTTCAATGACAAACCATATACATTTTTGGAATGAGGGTGTACGGGATGCGAACGAAATACATCAACGCACGAACATACCCATCTCTACGTATATAACAACCTTAAAAAACTCAAAAAACTAGGAACAGTAAAGCATGCAGATGGTAATGGTCGACCAAGGAAGATTACGGCAATGCCCCAAAAACATTAGGACAATATATTCACAGGGATGCTCTATCTCGACAAGAAACTTTAGCAACAAAAGCTATCAAAGAGGTTTCGTATATATAGAACAGTTGGCCGATGCTGGATACAAGAAAAATCAACCAATGACCCCCCCCCCCCCCGCGATAATTGAGTGCAGTCAGTCCCCCCCAATGAATGAAAGCGGCCACCCCAATGTTAACATAAGCGAAAACGGGTAGAATGAGCCATGAATCATCTTAATGACAATTGTTATTTTCGGGTGAGACTGCTTTCCAACTCTTCCGAAACACAGTGGAACGCTGGTATAAAGTGAAAAACCAACCCGTTCTATGCCCAAGGACCGTACAAAAATTTTTGCCCCGGGTGGTTTTGCATAAAGGGGAAGACAAGTTTATTTTGCTTTAAACAAATTATGGATGCTAAATTCAATGTGGATTTCAGCAAGATAATGATCCAAAACACGCAAGCTGTCTTGCCCAAGCCTTTCTTCGAGAGAATATGCCACACATCTCTCATTGGATTGATTAACGATGTGTACAAATGCATGTCGTGTGCTGTACCGGAGGGGACGTTTTCGAGAGCGGGCACGTACTTTAGTAGTCTCCGAGACAAGTATAATAGAGCATTAAAAGATCTTGTAGAACCATATAACACTAAATACAGGCATGAATACTCATACACAAAAACAGTACCTGCGGACACGTTCGGACATGCATTGAGGACAGCTTGGCCGTCTAACAGCCTTGACCTAAATCCAATCGAAAATCTCTGGAGTATTGTTAACGGTGGAAAGGCGAATGCCAAAAAATCAGGCTGAACTGGAGCGATTCATGGTAGAGGAATGGGAAAATATCTCAGATCTACCCTAATCAACTTAGTAAAGTTAATGAAGCGACGTTACGAACTTGCAATCGAAAAGAATGGAGAACGGCGCAACCAGAATCGGTTCGTAAAGCCTGTCTACGAACCGATATATCTCGAGATCAACGTACTTTCTCTGTCTGGACTTTGTCTTGGCATTTTCGATTTTCATTAAACCAGCCATCTTTCCCTTTTTTTGATGGATTGTATGACTTTTTCCGTGGCTGGGCTACGCCGTCACAGGCTCTTCAAATTGTTCAAATTGGATTTTTCTGGTTTAAACAGACGCATGTCAGTAGTGCCAACAGTTTCATATTGTTTAATCTTTAAAATAAAAATTTCATGTGTGACAACCGCATATTATATCTGATGATTGTTTAAAGATTTGATGTGAGAACATTTTCAATTTGAATCAGTCAACCAGTGGGAATTGGATTAAAAAAAAAACGTCTTTTCTCGCGTGACTGGGCGCCCCCAAATAATTTGTAGATACGCGAAATTGTATGATATTCGTTTGTGAAATCCAATGTTCGTTGGAATGGTGTAAGTTCATGATAATGAAAAACTTTAAGAGTTGGGTAAGCCCTCCCATAAGAATGCACTTGACGTATACATTTCTTTCGTTCAATATTTATGATGTAGGCAATGATGGCAACGGAAATCACAGGGCAGCGCGTGAGTATGTGGATAATTTTCAATTGGACCTGGCCCGCCAACAGAGGTACAACGTATAAGAAACGTACTGAGATTATCTTCGTTTCAAAAATGGGTCTGATTTATGAAGACGAACGATCAAATGAAAACAGAACTTTGTTGTTTCTAGAAGGGATACCTTACAGACGTACCACTCAATAACATCATGTTATCGTTTGCAAGCCTCCTGTTTCATTCGCAAAGCTCGGATGAAAGATAATTATAGTAATGAACAAAGACTTTGGTAAGTCAAAATGCGTGGGAATTCGGAAGAGCGAGAGGAGCACTTGGAACGGATTGTCGAGTATGCATATGGCTGCTCATGTTTATCCTAATATTCTTTTGATTTTGTCTAGGCTATCCGCATTCAACAATATGATTAGAACTTCAACGAAGTAACAGTCTTTATGTTGAGAATGAAGACGAATGGACGTGTGCAAATATTTATTTGTGGTGAGGAATTTATAATTGTAATGTTAGGTGTGGAGGAAATATCCACATTATAGCTTGCTACGTACTGTTTAATAACATACATACATACCTACATCTGTATTATTATAGTTGCGCCGTACCCTCTCTATATACTACCTCTTTCTTCCCCACGACGTCGAAGATTAATAATATTATTAAATACGGATTTCGTCTGTTGAGGGATTATGTACCGCATGAACGCTTATACAACATTGGTTAGACAAAAGAAGAAACAAACCAACTGGACGGAACGCGACGAAAAGACTATGATGCATGCCACTTCGTTACGTTGATCTAGATTATATATTCATTTCACATATTCGATCGCTTGACTATCGCTACCTCCATCTCCTTTTTTAACATGCACTTCTTCTCCTCATGAAGGTAGCCTTTCTTTGTTAATTATATCAATACTTTCCCAACGTCTGCGATTATTTTCTCTAATCAATTATCTCCAATCTATTTCATATTCAAGAGATTGACGTCCCGGTATATACCGGTCGGCAGAGCAGTTCACTTTTTGAATTTTCGGATACATTGACAATTTTGCTGGAGGATGAAAACCAGATCAAGGGTTGTAGAGTAAAAAGATGAAGACCGATCAATTATTATGCGGACCGTCTGTTCAGGATAAGACCTAATTTCGCCGTGACCAGATATTTCACGTCTAATGTTCCATCATCGTTAGTCAAGACGACTCATCAGAACATCGCCGTGAACATGAACGAAGGATGTCAGAAAATACAGCATTCGGCTTGAATTCCGTATTGTCATATCTCCGGCCCCATCGAACCCGTGCGATAATGCAGACTGGAACGTTCAACCGATGTGCGATGATGGGAGTGAAATCACGCCTCAAATCAAATTCATTCTGTCTACTGTCATTATCACAACCTACAGCCGAATCAGTAAAACGTGATGCTCTTGAGATATGAGTTGATGGGGCTTTTTACCTCAATAATGTCCACTTACGTCGACAAAGATTTATCGAACGCTTGATAAGTAGCAGGACTAAATCTTTACTGCCTTTCATTCTCTCCACGCTGACATCACTGGTGATAGATAGTCGAGCAATTGAAAGTTACCAAGTATTTGCATTGTGCTATGACTCTGTATACGGCTGTATAAGACACAAATAGGAACACATTTACTGACAGAACTATGTTCTGCATCTGAAATGTCGCCATTTGAACGGCCTGGGCTTCACAAGTCCGCTTTTACGATAGCGAGAAATAGATAAGCGACGGCAGCATCGGCCATCGCAGCTGCACCATGAAAAGAACTCCGAAAGACGACCACCGCATGAAGCCTGCCACTAACTCGTACGTACAGACCATCCCTAAATTGTGACGGAGCAAATGTAATTGGACGATTAGGTGTCGGTGTTTCGTAATAACATCGCTCATTGAGCAAAGGCTTGATAGGTTAATAGGCTCGCCCGCGATATAGGCTTTCCCGGTTGAGTCGTGGCACATACAAGTATGCGTTACTTTCATGGATGAATATGCAAATCCAATTAATCATTATTGGGATCTTTAAATATCAATTACTAAAGCTTTCTACTTTTCAAACTTTGTGTAGTTATCATAGTTCTATCCGTAGCTATGTCACGCTAGAA